TAACGGCCTGATTATGAATGACTGAAAACACTTGTTTGCCAATATGATTTTTCCATCGTAAAATGGGAATTTTCGCAGAAATACTGCATATGTATGAAAAACAATTAACTGCGATGAGATATCTAACTCACCTGTGGGTACATTCAGCTCAACGATGTCCTTGTCAGAAACGTTCTCCAAATACTTAATCAGGGCCCGAATGCTATTGCCATGCGCTGCAATAAGAACACGTTTTCCAGCCTATTTCAGCAAAGAAGACAAACACAGACACGTCTTAGTTTTTTGAATGTCCTGTTTTTAGCAGAATCTAGTGTAAAAACAGTAACACTCCCAGTAGGGTTGTCCTTATGCAATTCACAGACATGTCATGAGCAAATCGATAGATTCGTTTAAGTTCAACGTAAAAACCAAGAAACTAGGTAGTAAGCACAGCGAAAGTTGTGCTCAACTCTTTCTATGTCAACTTTATTGAGATAGTTTTTACATCTTTGGACTCTACTTCATGGTACTCTCATAAAAATTAGCCTTGGCGAGTTGTGGTCTGTTCGTAGATATATAGTCAGTTGTATTTTGCAAAACAAAATACGATGCTTTAAGAGAAAGGCATTACAAAGTGTTTCAGTAGTATTCCCAATTATGACGGTTAACAGAAAATGTCTCGGGACCTTCGATAGTTCGTTCAATATATCGTAATTTTTTCTTAAACTTTAATTTACATTTCTGTTAATCAAACAGTTCAAGCTAGAAGGGCTTAAACAATGCTTTAAAAAATATATAGACTGAACTCATTAGTTTAATATTTTAGCTATTCCCGAAAGTGTTTATAAAAATTTAAAAATACACTTAATCTTTTTTATTCAAATCAATTTTAAAATTCATAAAAGGTTGTGCAGCTAGATAAAAAGTAAACCTATGACGACCATTCAGAAGTTAGTATACTTAAACGTACCTTTGGACTATGTATGTTGAAAATGCCTCTTAAGGCAAAAGGGTACTCATTTAGGCCCTCCACTTAACTTCATTTTATGCTTAGTAAGTCATCTAGATACGCAGTCGCAGATCATCTCTCTTGGAGATTAAAAATCCGTGACATCATCAAGTCTGACAAGATCCCACATAACCACACTTCTACCAGGTACAAGTAAGTCAAATTTATACGATGCTTAGAAATTGAACCCCAATTTTTCGAAAATATTCTCAACATTCTTCGGGTTTAACTTGGCAATCAAATGCTCTGCCTTA